AATCTAGGATAATGTAAATTATATTTCATCATTATTTCTCATTCACACCATATGTGCATTATTTCATTCATTCTTTCATCAAATAAATTCGCACTCAAGCCTCCTCGGTTCCGTTGTGTTTATTTTCCAATCGGTAATTCAATTTTCATTAATTTTGTTTAAAAGTTTGGACAGTGCAGATTCTCCGCATTCGTGGCTTTTATTTGTTCACATTTTCGGGCAGCGATAACGACCACAGCAAAGCGCTCGACTCTGACCTCCGCCCCCCCCACCCCATCGCTCGTTATCTGTGCAGCTGCAGCCTGACTGCCTGGGATGCATGACGGTAGTAGTATGTAACTAGACAAAGCCCAAACCGCAGTTTTCTCCCTATCAATCCATTTCCTATTTTCTCTCGCAACATGCGACTGATATCTCGTTCAGACATCAGCGACGAATGTAAGGCGGTGGGTGGGGGGGAGGGGCGGAGACACAGCTGAATTAGAGAGGGGTGGCCGTGGGCTTGGCCTCTCCAATCACGTCCAAAAGTGAGTGTCCTCCTCTGCGTCACGCGAGAATGAAGACTGCAAAGAAAGAAAAGAAAGAGGGGGCGGAGTGAGAAAAGTGATAAGGCATTGGAAGCTGCGCCAGCTGCTGGGATCTATCTTCGTCCCTCTCTCGCCCTGCTCTTCCCTTGGCCGTGACTCGGTCGCTCTCGCTCGCCTCGCCTGACGCGTCGCCGGCCGCTGCCGGCCCGTGGCCCCCGCTCCCGCCCCGCCGCCCAGTGGTCACTCACCAGTCTCGCGCGCGGTGGTCGTCGGTCTGTCGCTCTTTCCGAGTCGTGCAGCGCTGTGAGACGCCCAGGCCCAGCAGCCCAATCGACGGACATAATGGCGCTCAAGTGGAGAAACATCCTGGCGGTGACGCTGGCGGCCCTGGTGCTCGCGGGGATCGCCTGCGCCGAGGTGGTCGAGTTCCGCAGCTGCGACGGTAGGTGTAGCCGATGGCGCGGACGGACGCCTCGCTGTACCTTTGCAGGGGGTGTCGTGAGAAGTGTCATTAGTTTGTCTATTTGTGGCGGCGGTGTTAACGTGTTTACCAAGGTGGGGTGGGGTACGCGAAGTTATCTCCTTTCGCGTGTGGCGAGGCAACAGGGGCTCAGATCGGCGTACCGTTGACCGTTGATGGGGGTTGGTGGGGGAATAAATGTGACTCGATCAAATTTCAGTAGATATAGTTTTCCTGGCAGGTGTCCCCAGCGATCGCACTTCCTCTCGCGGGTGTCTTTAGTGATTCATTACGGGTGTCGCGGGTCCGATCGCGAGGGCTCGCGAGATCTCGAGTCGTGCCGAAGCTGAAAGGGAGCCGCTTTATGGACCTCTTCCAGCCCGTCTGAGGCGCACTACCAACTCTCAACTCTTTTGCTGGACGTGTCACGTGTCGCAGTAAAGGAGATGCGGCATCACATGACAAGTTGTGAAAGACCACATCAATGTATCTAGACGGGCCTCTAAAAAGCCTATTGCAACGCTCTCCATTCCGAGGAAACGTCAGATATCGCAGTAGATATCGCCAGGGTTTATCGGAGAATGCTTGCGATGGGTGTTTTCTGTTTTCGTTTTGTTTGGCCTTTCAACCCCGTGGGTTCCTCATCCCCACACTATGAAAGACGTTGATCGCGATTTACGATAAAGCCTTGTGATTACACTGTGGCTGGAAAATCGGAAAACACAAGTTTGCCGATTGTTTCTGGGAATTCCCTGCTTGACTGTCATTCCATTCCATGTGTTATTCCAGAAAACATCGACGACGAGGCGGACCTCCCCCAGCGCAACTGCAGTGTCAAAGCCCTGCGCATCACTCCCTGCCCGGAGTCAGCCGAGGGAAAGCCCTGCAAGATCAAGAGAGGCGACAGCGTCGAGCTCGCCGTGGACTTTACTCCCGGTAAGTGGTCATAGCGGAGTATCGATGGCGGGCTGAACTACCCCATGCGCAGCCCAGCGCGCGGAGTCTTGCCGCCCAGCTGGCACTCTCTGCATCCTGCTTCACTGCACGGCTTCCCTTCTGTTTCAGATCAACCCGTGTCCGAGTTGTCTGGCAGGGCCTACTGGACCAACCAGCTGGTGGATCTTCCCCTTTTGGGCATGGACACCAACGCGTGCAACTACACTGCTTGCCCTCTCCAGCCTAATAAGATGCAGACCTACACCTACAAGCTGGAAATTTCCCCGTTCTTCCCCATAGTACGTAACATTTCCGGCCAGCTGCCTTATTGTTTGACACAATCCGCCAACATTCTTACTATTGTTTTATTCTTTTTGCAGAGAGCCTATGATGTTAAGTGGAAGCTCTGGAGCGAAAATACTGAGTGCTGCTTTATCACAGCAATCAAGTTAGTCAGGTAGAATTTTGAACTAAATTCCTGATAAATCCATATTAAATTATTGACATTTCTACATACCCCAAATTCCCAATTCACTTACTATACTTTCACCAATTCAAGAGCATCAAAATAAGACAAAATTGTCAAAGAGATTACCAAGCATAAAAAATGACGATGAAATAAATGTTAAACCTTTTTATTTGTAGTACAATGGGGTTTTCTTTTTTGGCATAGTCGTACCTGTTGGAAAGCCCCCCCCCCCCCCCCCCCAGTGAATCCCCCCCGAGGTGACGCGAGGGAACTTTGCACGTCAGAGGTTCAACTTGGCCGCCGTCTTCGCACGGCTGTTTCGCGGGTAGGCCTACCCAGCACGCATTGAGGCGCCTTCATCGTCGTCGCCCCGTGAAACGTTCATTGTGGGGGCATCTTCAGACATATATGCATAACCGCACCAACTCATTATCAGTTTCCTCTGTGGTCAAAGGGAGCAGCAAGTGGATAAACGTACACAAAACGACAAATTGCAAATTTGTGTGTAAGACCCACCTCAAAAAGCGCGGGTGAAGTCTGACCTACAAGTACACCAACCACTTAAAAAGAAAACTTGGAGAAAGAGAAAAGAGATAGCTTAGAACTAGTTGTATTGTCTTTTTATTAATAACCAAGATATGATTTCAATCTACAATAATGTTTTGTAACTTTCGAATAAAACTAATTTATTTTGTCCTACACGTTGTGTTTACTTTGTTTTGGACGGCAGTGGATACCCACCCTTCTC